CCATTCACCGTGCTTGTATCGTGCGTGTATCGTGTGTTCATCATTCATCGTGCATCGTGCGTGTATCGTGCGTTCATCATTCATCATTCATTTTTCGTTAATCCTCCGTGTAACGCTCATCGCTCATCGTGCGTGTATCGTGTATCGTGCATTCACCGTGCGTGTATCGTGCATTCACCGTGCGTGTATCGTGCGTGCGTGTATCGTGCGTGTGGTCAGTTTGAATTTAGAAGGTCTGTAATGTATCTAAAATCATAACTTAATTTAATTTCATATATATATATATATATATATATATATATATATATATATATATATATATATATAGACCCCTCTAACAAGAAATTTGTTTTGCATGCACACGTATAAAAATTGCGGTTTTTATCCAACGCAATCATAGGTTTGAACGTTGTTTTCAATTTAAACTTGTTTATATATATATATAAGTTAAAGCTAAAGTACGATGGTCTGTGTTATTAAATGGAAGACGCTAAAGTCCGATGGCTCAATACCCGACAACAATGGAAATCAACAAAAATGAAAAAGCGGATTACCTTAATAGTGACGATGTGTATGAAACACTTTGAAAACCATATTTTTCAGTAGTTCGGTAAAATTAATTGATAAAGTAATATAAACTTATTGTTGCTTGTTGAACGTAAAGTGGCAAATATCACATGCATATACAGGACGACCATATGCATGATCATTTGATCATTTATTCTGAAATAATTTTAGTATTTCTACTATTCATGTTAAGGTTACAAAATATAATTTAACGTAAGAGGAAAAGGAGATTCTGGAGATGGCTCACTTGGATGTTGAGGAATTAAATTCGTTCAATTTTAATTTAGCAGCTTCTATGTTTGTAATCAGAACTGATGTTATGAACTTGCGTGAAATAAAGTCTTCTTTTTACTTTCTAATGGAATCATTCTATAAAACATTTTTTACAATATGGTTCGTTATTTCTGTTAAAGGTATAGATATACGTCAACTAGACAGTAACCTAACGACTAGATAGACCAAATGTCATTAATGTAAGCAACTATAGGTTACCGCATGGCCTTAAACGCGGAACATTGGATATCATCGCAATGTACCCATTACACTTTTTTTGACAACTATCGTACTTTGAATAAAAAAATGAGACACATATATACTTAAGACCAAATGTCGTTTATATATGCAACTAATAACTACGGCCTTTAACATGGAGCCTTAGCCTACGCCGCATAGCAAACTATTTATTATATATACATAGGGCCACACAATGTCCAGTGTAAACCAAATAAAAAGAGAAAGACAACGGCTTGATGAATAAACATAATAATAAACGAAAAACTACAATAGTAGGAACACAGAAACAAACGAAAACCATTGCCTGAACCCCATTCCTGTTACACCATCGCGTGCACTTTAGCGTGCTATACCATCGCACTTTAGCGTGTCATACCATCGCACTTTAGCGTTTGACAACATCGCACTTTAGCGTATACCATCGCACTTTAGCGTGACCATCGCACTTTAGAGTACCATCGCACATTAGAGTCCTACATATATATATATATATATATATATATATATATAATTATTCTAAATATCAGCACAACAATGTTAAATCTACAAATTTGCGGAAGCAAATTTTTGTTCTTCCCTCGCCGGGATTCGAACTCATGCTATTAGGATGTCGAAACAACACCGTCTGCACTGTGTCCATCGCTCTAGACCACTCGGTCACCTATACTAAACTAATAATTCAGCTTTCGGTGGCCTAGTGTTACCTTTCCTCGTCAGTAGAATCTAGAGTTGTAACACAGTACATGATATATTTGGCATGAAGATGGAATTGATTGCAGATTAGCTAAATATCTATCGTAAAGGATCGTAAGATACAGTCACAGAAATAATTATTTTGATAAGTACGTCTAAACACTTAACTCTACGACAGATCCATCCATCCATCGGATCACCAGTGAAGGTGATACACGGCTGAAAACACATATTATATTCATAATTATTCTATATATATATGAGTTATAAAAACTACAAGTAGATTGGAAGAACGCCAAATTATCTATCCTTGCATGATGTCTATACAAATTTCGGATACACTCAAATTTGATGAAGAATAAACAGATGTAATCTAAGAAGCAACACTAGTTCACGGACCTCAAAACTCTAAAATCCATTTTGAATGCCCAAACCAAGGGAATAAATGAGGAAACTGCAGGTGCTCAAACGGAGCGAGACCAGATGCGTCGACAGGGCTAATATCACCTGCTTTACGTTTGTAATTCGATATACTACTACAAACTATTTACAAATACGATGATATGGAATAAGACAAAAAACGTGCAAATACGAAGTTTTTTTTAGGCATTGTAAGTAAAAAATGTCTTTCATTCAAACACACACACATCGTATCGAACATTAATACTTGATGGTGACCATGCATGGAACTGATTAAGTTGTAGAATTAAGTATAAAAGAAAAAGGGGAAATACATAAAAGTTGAAAAATTAAACGTTATTAACCAACGGAACGAGTGAAAAACAACTGTCATATTCCAGACTTAGTACAGACATTTTCCAAATATAGTTTGAAACTATTAAGCGGTTAATAGTCTTTTTCAGACAATTTCGTAAATAGTTAATGTATTCGTCTATAATTTTATAAAGAAAATACATACTGAGGTATAATAACACATCCTAATTTTTACCGAGATAGGGTTTAACTAGCACGGAAATTTAGATACGATCCGGGTAAACTTATCGATCCTTTAAATAAACTTATGCTAAAAGGTAACATATCATTGAACACTGTAATTAGAGCTTTAAATATTGTTTTTATTGGTATAAATGTTGAGTTTGTTATCATTAAATCAAAACAAACTAAATATTATTGTTATATACATATGCACATTCACGGTTCTACAATAAGTCAATACCTGTAATTTGGCATTGCACAAGGTCATGTTTTTCTTTGACTGTTAATGACGTCTTTACACTAAATCCATTGGATGTTGGATGTGTACTGATTGATATTTTAGTCTTAGATACATAATTTTTTTTATCAGTTTTTTGTCTTTGAAATAGCTATAAGTAACTTCGAGTACTCCAAGGTCTTTATTTAGTGTCTTTTTTGTTGTGGGGATTTATAAATACCCTACCCCGTCCGTTCTGTGCTTTTGTTTCTTGTTTTATTGCTTTGTATCAATCTGATGAGTTTAACCCTTTTTCAACTGATTTTTATGGTGTGTTCATAAGTTGTGCAGTTAAACTACTGTCCCAGGTTATTGAGAGTGTTGGGCGCCCACAAACATGTTTAACACCGCCACATTATGTATTTGGCTGTCCAAAGTCAGGAGCCTGTAATTCAGTGGTTGTTGTTGGTTCATGTCTGTCATACTTGTTTTTCGTAAATTATTTTGTTATAAATTATGCCGTTTGTTTTCTCAATTGAATTGTTATATATTTTTCAAGTCGGGTCCATTTACAGTCGTTTATACGGTATGGGTTTTTCTCATTGTTTAAGGCCGTACAGTATCCTATAATTGCTTACATCCACATCATTTGAACCTTGGTGGATAGTTGTCTCATTGGCAATCCTACCACTTCTCCTTATTTCTATTTTTATATAAGCAACCCAAACTGATAGAACAGATTAATGTGACAATAATTATGATCCAGCAGTCAAAACTGTGTAAAGATAGATCACAGACATACAACACAACTGACTAAAAATTCAAACAAGCATACAAATAAATCTACCAAAGACGTCAACAAACAAAATGTGTTGTAGTTGATAGTAAAATTGACAAAGACACAACAATATTTTTGTAGTTGATAGTAAATTGACAATGATGCCGATACAAAGTTTTTGAAGTTTATAGTACATGTTGTATATAGTATTCACTTTCTCGATAAATTACACATTAAGTAAAATATAAATACATAAAAAAGACGTACACTTGAGACCCAAGCATTGATAAAAACAGATACAAATTGTACTAAAAAGACGTACACTCGAAACCCAAGCATTGATAAAAACCGATACTAAAAAGACGTACACTCAAGACCCAAGCATTGATAAAAACAGATACTAAAAAGACGTACACTCGAGACCAAAGCATTGATAAAAACAGATACTAAAAAGACGTACACTCGATACCCAAAAATTGGAAAACCAAATATAGTTACTCTTGAGAAAATCAAAACCGAAATCGGATCCACTGAACAGCTATACCCTTAACAATGCATATTGGCATGACAACCTGCAACTACAATATTCATTAACTAAACATTTAGTCACAATTTATCATTTAAATACGTATTATATCATGATATATATAAATTATATCAAGTAGGTCCTTTAAAGCATAAGTTGAAGAAAGACATACAAAGCGATGGCCAGAAAAAAAAACCCACAAAGACAAACAATAATTTGCCAAAATCCTGCTCATAAAAACAGAGTGAGAAAAACTTCAAACACAAAAAACAAAATAGGAAAAGTCGGACTGAAAGTAAGTGCTCGAATAATCTAAGCTGTTTATTCATGTTTGACAAATTCCATCCTTAATATAAACAAAAAACAAAAAACAAAACAAACTAGCAACAAAAGTTTTTGAATCGTCGGTCAATGTTAGATTAGGCAACTGTAGTTTACCGATGTTCAATAATTATGAATCGATTAAAAAGATACAAATCAAGGTGACACACAAAATCTGCGGGAATCTTATTAACTCCAAAATGAGCGTGAACCATTGGGTATACAGAGCAAACGTATCCTGCTAACCCTGCGTAGGATACAATACTTAATCGGTAAAACTACAGATCAAGCAATTGATCTGCTATCTGAAAAACCAAAGATATCTAAAGTGTCCTTCGACTTTTAGACAAGCTGTTAGGATGTGTACCTGTTCATTTACAAACAGTATATTGTCTTTAGAAAATGAAAAATAATTGATTTTAGGTTGTAGATTATATTTGTAAACTTACTTTCTGCTGATGTAGAATTTTCTTTTTTGTCTTTGCAACATTTATCTGAAATAATTATAAGTTGCATTCTGTTTCTGCTTTTCATAAAGAAACAAATTATCGCTTGACAATGAATAATTATAATAACATTCCCCTCCCACACACAAACACACACAAATAAGGGTCAAGTAACATTATCACAAAAGCCTACGCTATGAGACATACACGAGGTTAAATATTCATGAAGAATGTTGTTAACCTAGACATACATTCTGTTAATTCGACAAGGACACCCACAACAGTGGGACAAAATATGTAGTGTGTGCGGGTATATATGTGAGGTAGAATGTTATGTTCGCGAATATAATGTTATATAATTACAAAGATCGCCTCGATTAAAAAATAGATCGATTGAACTCGAATGATAATGACATCGTATGACTTTTCTATCTAGCTTGTTTTTTTCCTGCCGGATTGGAACATTTCAGATTATAATACAGTTGTGTCACAGTCTATCCTTCTGGTAATATGAGAATTGAACTCGGATTTTAATATCAACAATGAAGTTTAATACTATATCACTGAACATGGAAAAAGGATGATTTTGTTTTCATCTTATCATAGCTTATTAGTTATTCCCATAAGTTTAACTCGCCAAATAATGTTAACACTCAGTTTCTGAGCAGAGGGGATCGCCGAAGCTACAAATGTACTCCTATTGTTCTCCTCAATGCAATTAAACAAACAAAAATGGTCTCAGTAGATAAAAACATGGAGTTTTTAAGCTTTAATGTTTTAAATGCAGAATGTTAGATTATTTACAGACTTTCTCACATAATAGTTGTGGGAAATAAGGTACGACTAAACCTAAACCCAAATCTTTGATATCTCAACCATTGTCCAACACAAATTATTCATATCAAATAACTATTACCTTGTAATAATTTAAAGCCACCAGCAATTATGACACCTACAAGACCAACAAGTATGCACCATTTTCCTAAAAATATAAAAGGGTTTATGAAAAATGACTCAATTAATCCACCATTTTCTAAATGCCTGTACCACAACAGAAATATGTTTTCTATTCGATTGATGTGTTTGAGCTTTTGATTTTGCGATTTGATAAGGGACTTTTCGTTTTGAATTTTCCTTGGAGTTTGGTATTTTTCGTTATTTCATTTTTTTAAGGTCTGCAGTCACATTGATTTATATAATGAACATTAATTTAAATTTTAAACGATAAAGTGAAAATATTAAAAGTTAAATATCTTTCAATATATATTTTCTACTAGGATTGAATGTTTATGGTGAAAATAAACATATTGGGAGAAATGAAGTGTTATTATTTTAATTTTTCATTATTTAAAGATAAAAAAAAATTAAAAAAAACAAAATGTGTAACTCAAATCTTCATCCATAGGATCGAGATTGAAATCACTTATAATTTTTTCTCATTATTTTCAGTAAAACTAATATTAAGAGTTGCATAAAATTTAATGCCTTCTATCTCTGAAATCAAACAGAAAACTGTTTTACGTAAATATACATGACGGAATTCAATCGTTGTTAGATAATGTTGAATTTTTTGTGCATTTAAGATATCAATTTATTTTAAAAGTACCAAGGTATTTGAAATAACAAACATTTAATGAGAAAAATTATTACAAAATTGTTAATAGAAGTTTATAGAATTGAAAAGATGATTAACACAAAGTATCATTTGAGAGAAAAGATGAATATTCAATAACTGATAAAAAAATCAATTAAAAATTGAAAAAAAGAACATTTAAATCAATACATCGAAATCAAACTTCCTTTTCTTACTCTTGATTATTTGTGAAAATAACCTGGGATTTGACAAGAAAACATGCTTCCTGAGATAAAATAGCAGAAAAAACGTTTTCACCAGTTACTATTGTGGCTAACGATAGCTTGATGAATTTCAATGACATTCGATTCTTTTTTACATTATTTAAAGTGTGTTTGAATTGTCTCTGATTGTACAGAATTTCTCACTGTTTAATAAGTTCTCATTTACTGTTTCACGAATGACGACGGATATGTTCCAATCGTCGTTACCACAATCCCGTCCTTATTTCCTCGAATGTGACCTTCCAAATTAAGACTTATCACCAGGTTTGTACTTACATGAGCAACACGACGAGTGCCGCATGTGGAGCAGGATATTCTTACCCTTCTGGAGCACCTGAGATCACCCCGGTGTTTAATGGGGTTCGTGTTGCTCAGTTTTTAGTTTTCTATGTTGTGATTTGTGTACTGTTGTTTGTGTTTTCGTCGTTTTTCGTTTTTTGCCATGGTGTTGTCAGTCTGTCATCGACGTATGAGTTTGAATATCCCTTTGGTATCTTCGCCTCTCTTTTACTTGGCTGTGTTATTATTTCGAAACAGACATTACGTTAACATTAATGTTCATTTTAACACATTGTAACCTTGTAGTTCTATTTTTCAGTTTTTTCATCTTTCAGAGTAGTTGTTATAAAAGTCATCTAATTTTTATCTATACATTGAATTTTGAATTTTTATGTATTAAAATCATACGATTTGAATTTCTGATAATAACGAAATGGTCGGAGTCTTCAATTTTCCAATCCATAAAAGCATTTTATTAAATTATTCTGCTATAATCTTATTTCAGAATAAATGATCGAGTTTGACTTTCGTCCTTCCTATGTAAAAACAAAGCAATTTTTAAAGGATACCAATACCTTTGCATATACCCGGAATATTCATCAGGAGAAGCGGTAGTATGAGAAAGATAGCAAACGGTATTACAGATTGAAGACGGGTTAATTTTATTTCTCTCGTCAAGACATTTTTACAACCTGAAAGAAAAAAAAATGAATAGATTGTAACACGCTTTATACGGAAAAAAGAAGATCGTCATAGTATCCTTAAATACTTACATCATAACTTCCCCACAAAAACATTGTGAAAATAAGTTAAACAATGGAAATTCAACCAATTTTCATTTTGGAGTACGAACAAAGAAATTACCCACAATCTATTAGATTCTGAAACAGCGAATTGTTTTGATAGGCTTAGCGTAAATGCAATGAGTAGGACTTTAGCATAATATTTTATCAAGTTTCTAACGGTACCAACACAGCTCCTCTTATAGCAGACTGGTTACTATATTCATTTAATCCAGTTGTCATACGAGACTTTCTAATGAAGAATATAAGGATGCTTGAAATGTCGTTATTACGCTATGAAGATGGTGTCTCTCGTAAGATATTAAAAATACTGCTACTTTTCTGATCGTATCTATCCAATTGGACATGAAATAAATAATACTACAGATTAAGTTATGTCTACTTTATATTTTTCCTAAACAACTCGGGACAGTGGTTTAACAGCTAACCAGTATAGATTATTTTAGCTTGTTTTTTGTGAACTTTCTATATCTATGTAGTAAGGTTCAATCTTTAATTTTACTGTATATGTAATGTTTTGCAGACTTGTTTGTCTTTTTGTCGTTTTTTGTTTGCCATAGGGTTGTTGGTTTTTCTTCGATATAGATTTGTTTTTGCCCTTTTGTATCTGCTGCCCCCTTTTTAACGTTAAAGTTTTTCATTACACTAGTTTCTTTCTTTCTTCGACTAATTGTATTTTCCACTAATATCTTAAAGAAACGGTTGCAAATTTTTTTTGAACAACATGGTATATTGATCTGTCATTCAAAGTACCGGTCACAACGTTATAACCATCTCCTGTTGCTGACGAAAATAATCGCTGCACGTTTCAGTTGCAGATATTTTTTGTGGATGGATATAAGAAAATTTAAATATTCATTCTGTATTCCTACAAAACAGTTTATTTGAAGGAACATTGAACGTCAGTTATTCTCTGTTCACAGTTAAGACTTCTGTGCTTCACCACTACATAACTTAATAAAACAAGTTCCCTATTAAAGGAACTTTTAATAAATATTCAAAGTCGAATATCTGGAAGCCAAGGATGTATAAGAACCGAAGCATCTGATGACCTATATGATCAAAAAGAACGTAAAGTAATAGCAAAATCCATCTCAGGTCAACTTTGCCTGAGGGAGTTAAAACCGAAACCTTAGTTTCTATATAATTTCTAAATAAATTTATAAAGGACACTTTTAGAAAGGTTTGTTATACTACTGAGCTGATGATTCCCTCGAGGGACTGACATTCCATAAACAGCTATTTCACACCATTTTTTGTCGCTAAAAAGGGACATTCATAAATATAATAAATAACAACAGACAACACCATTGCAAAAATTCAAAAAGACGAAAAGGCAAACAACAATAACTGATCATTACACAGAAACATAAAGATTGAGCAACACGATTCCCGCCAACAGATGGTGAACATAGGGCATGCATGCCCCTCAATGATAATCATTTCCTGGTCCGCATGTGATACCCTTTGTGTTGCACATGGAAGTAAACATCTAGTAAATTGCACGGTCCGGAGAAAAGAGAACGGGATTGCGGTTAAGACAAGTCGACGATATTTGTCGTCATCTTAGGTCAACCAAATCATGATGGAGTCCATAGAACTTTCGAAGGTAAGATTATTCATAAAGTTTAGGAATAATCTTTAAATCATACCCCAAATCTAATAAACTGATTCAATACTTTAATAATTATTCTATAATGGCTCAGTCTTTGTGTCTGGAATTTTTTTTATGAACATCAAGTTTGTTGTAGGCTTTTTCAGTTTCTTCTCTTCCAGTACTTTTTATGACGTTGCTCTATGAAATCTTCTTTAAAGTATAACCATCGATGTAAGAGAGTAAGACGGTATGAACCAATATGATCAGGATCGGTGCTTTCGGTATATTCGATCATTCTTTGATACAGTATTTGTTTTTATTAATGTTTTCTTTACACTTGTTGTTTCAATATTTATTAACTCCTTATTGTACAGTTAAGACCTTATTCTGGGCTGAAAGATTTGTATGCTTATTTAATAAATTTTGTAGGTCCACTTATATAGATAAAAATAGGGATTATCCGGATTGAAAATGATTCGAAAAATATTTGAACGTTTGTCACAGATCATAGTTTGAAGTCGTGCCAATACCAAGAAAACGACCCAGATAATAAATCCCCCCCCCCAAAAAAAAGTTCCTATTAGTTTTTAAGAAAGTAATGTATTTTCTTATATGATATTAAACAACATGGTATCATTAATAATGTTTAAGCTTATAAGCTTATATATGACTATGATGTACTCTTATAATAAATAAAAACCCAAAACATATCACCAAAACCGAAGAACACTGAAATTAAACAGCAACAAATCAACAAAACAGAAAATTGTAAATAACAGAACTCATTGAAAGTTAAGGCTTTAACAGCCAGCTTATGACTCACTTGTAACAAGTCGGTGTTCGCGCTGATGCATTAACAAATAAATGCAAAGAAAGGCATGCGATAGACATTGATATCAACAGAATACATGAAAACAATATTGTGTAAATTTGGTGAATCCGAATCGCTGTTTTGCATTTGCTTAATAGGGAAGGCTTAAAGCTGAAATAAATGCAGAAATCAACTCACAAACTACTACTTGAAAAAATATTTGGTTCAATGGTATTCTGAAAGACCAAAGCATCTTGCATTAGTATATAATTTAACTTAATTAATGAATGAAAGGAACAATATTGCACTGCATCAGATGTTACAATTATGCCAATAGTGGTATTAATATCTAGCATAATCATATATCACTAAAATACATACAAACATTAACATGATGTTGTCCTGTCACGTTCTGCCTTTCTTTATAGAATGAATAGATCAGGATCATTATATGTGATGCGGCATATCCAATCCATAAAGGTATTGATGTGCATATGTACCCTTGATAGATGGAAACAGTGACATGTTCTTTTGATCCTGTAACATGCAATTGTTAAACAGTTTAGACAAGAATAAACCAATGTTTATTGTTTATATTTTTCTTACAAAAGTTGGTGGTAAGTATTTTCCAACAGTTTAGCCAAAGTATAATCATTTAACAGTTGGAAAGCAAGTCCTTGGAAACGTCCGTTGTCGTCAAGCTCTATCAGCAACAATAGCAGGGGGAATTAATTAGGTGGCGCTACAGTTGTCGGTGACGTTAAAAAGTCCGCGAAATTAATCGGCTAAAAAATCGACGTTTAAACTATTTTTTTCAACTTGTCATGCTTTTATGATAATTGATTTTTAAAGTTTGTAGGTTTTGTGAGCAATATTTCTTTATCTTGACCGTTCTAAAAATTATCAGCCATCTTTTTTGTTCGCCAAAAACATCGAATTTAAATAACTTGACGTTTGCGTATCCAAAGACGGAAAAGAACGGTAAAAATCTTAAATGAAATTGGGTAACCTATTTCAAATGTCTACACAATTATGAAGCCATCATTGTTTACTGTAATACAACAATTTTAGTGACCACCAGTCATGTCAATTTGTAGCTGGTTTTGGCTGCGTTTCTAGTTTAAAACAGTGAATGTTCAACTTCTTTTCATTGTACCTGTTATCAAAGTTCTCTAAAATACTGATCTTTTTAGAGATATGAATGAAATTGTGATTAAAAATTGTTGTTTTTCACAATTCCATACGATACTTCCATTTCAAAGTAACTAAAACCCTTCTTGATCCCCTACACACATTGACAGTGACATTGTTTTCTTTTTTCAACATACGTCATATAACGTTAACAAAATATGTGTCAGGGTTATGTGCATATTGAAAATTTACACATTGGAAAAGTGAAACAAAGATCATCTTTATTGCGTTTAAAACTGTACCTCTTAGAAAATTTCATTCATACTGGAAACAAATCTGACAAATCAATGATAGCCTATGGGTGGACAAAAACACAAAAAATAGCAATAGAAAATTTCTGGATGAAAAAAACATATGAAAAAAGGAAATAAAGGTCAGTTAATTATACTTATAAGTTAAAAACCTTGCTTATCTTATTATCTCTTTACTAAATAAGCAACAGTAATAAGTGCAAAAACTAGCTTATCAAGTCAAACAAGAAATTTAATTCATGGAGATGTTTTCTTACAAAATTAAATTTATTCAAATGGCAAAATCTTGTCAAATTTAACAATCCATTGATCATTAAGTAAAAGCAGTGTGTGAAACATCCGCTCGCCAACTCGCCAAATGCGAGTAAGAATCGTATTTGGCGAGTCCAGATTCAATAGAGCTCGCCCTTGTGGCGAGTGACTCTTCTGTGGCGACTTTGAATCAAGCCAGCAAAAAGATCGTTTCCCTGTAAAATCTATACTGTTATCCATGACTTCTGTTTAAACAGGAACACAGATGATACATATTATGTTCAAGTGTTCTGATTGACTAGATGACAGTTGTACAGTCTTCACGCTTAACCACAAGTCCTACAGCATTGGCTTGTAAAATTGCTTTCAGGCTTGTAAATTTTTTCTCTACAAGCCAACAGAATCCAACTAAAATTTTCGAAAAACTGAGCTTCGGGCTTGTGGACTCAAAAGTTTATCGTGAAGGCTGGTTGTATGAAAAACTTAAACCAATCAAAACGTGTTTTATAGATATATAAATTTACTTTCACTTTCCTTTTGGCATTGTAATTTTAAAATATGTTTTGAAGATTGAATCAAGAGTAAATTTCCAATAATCTGTAAATTAAAAACTTAATTCTAATAATGGATATTTAATAGACCAGCATGGAAAAATAAGATGATTATTAATTCAGCTTTTAAATAACAGGAAAGGAAGGAAAAGGTCACCAAAATAATCTTTACATTGTACATTGCTTATTAATATTAATTCAGCTTTTAAATAACACGAAAGGAAGGAAAAGGTCACCAAAATAATCTGAACAGTGTACATTGCAGAACAATTTTTTTTTTGTTTTTCTTAAAGCATAAATATTGACAAGCTGCATTAATTATGGTCAACAGAAGATGGCGAGTTCAAAATTTTAGAAACTCGCCAAGCTGGCAAGTGGGATTTCAATTTGGCGACTTGAAATGAAAAGCTGCTCGCCAATTTGGCGAGTTCCAAGAAAAAAAGGTTTCACACACTATAAAAGGCACAATATTTGTCCCACCAACTTTCATTTGTGATATAAATATCCAATAATTAAGGTAAAATATACAATACTTTGTTCATAAATATTTATACCAGCTGATACAGCAACCTGAAGAGAAGAAGTCCCATTTTGTTTTTTTTTCAAAAAGTTTACTTTCATAATCTATAAAATACCCTGAGAAATTTGGCAAGGGCTAATAGCTGTGCTAGGTAATCTAATAATTGAATTTTACAATAATAATGATTTTAAAATTCAAAATTATATCACTTATAATTTTAAGTATTAATTTTTACAGAATTTCTGCCAATTTTTTTGGTGAACTTATCCTTTTTCTGAAGGATCTTTTCTAGGCAGTACTGTACTGTTCAACTAAGAAACATAGGCTTGAGTTAAAAAGGCTTTTTTACTTTGAAGAAACTAATGTGACTCTTGGTCCCACTTTTTAGAATATAAATATATGTAGAAATGATCAGTACTATTTATTATTTTTATTTCAGAAAGCTTATTTAAATTGTATAAAGCATGTTTTATTGCATTAAACATTGTTAGAAGTATAATATTTAGAAAAAAAAATTCTACTAGGAGTAATCCCATATCCCATTTTAAAAATTACAAAGAAAATTTCATCAGCCAGAGCTAATTTACATCAATTCAAGTATGTTTCTAGGTGACATTTCTTAATTTTTACCAATTTTTTATCTTTTAATTTTTACCTCTAATCCTTCTATGAAAAGTAGAGAAGTATCTCTTCTTAATATTATAATGTCATTGTTGTAAATCGAATTTCAATTATTTTCTTCTTGATTTTTGTAGAGTAAACTCCTTTTTATTCATTTTGCTGGGTTTTTATTTTTGACTTGTGATATCAAGGGGAGATAACCACTTGCACAAATCGGCAAAATAAAAAAAACACCGCTTCGTGTTGAAAATAACTTGACGTTTGCGTATCCAAAACTCTATTGCCTAGATATTCATATCGAGTGTTTTTCTTAATGTGATGCTTTATTAAATTTAAATTCAGCCCATCATTTTTCGTTTCCTCGAAAATATTTAGATTTTTCGATCAGGAGACTTGACAATTTTCACACAAACTACAAGTTTGAAGATAAAATGAAGAATAAAGGACTTTGTTTTGGTGTTTAGTTTTGACGAGTTAAAACTACGTATATTCAAGATTATTTTGACCAATAAGTTTTTATCATGATAGTGGTATTTTAGTAAGTAAAAATGAGGTTTGTCTCATCCGTAGTTTTACTGAATTTTCAAGGTCACGTGACTCTATTGTTGTTGATAGACTTGGGGTCAAACCGTGACCTGCTTTCCAACTGTTAAGCAAGGATTTGTATAGTGTACACTATACAAATCCTTGTGTTAAGCAACAGATTTTTATCCATTTTTACATGTCCTAGTTTATCAAATCCGATTTTTGCGACAAAGAATTAATCCAAATTATATTTATTAACAACAAATAATTGAAGCATACATTTCAATGTTAAAAAAGAAAGGTTATATTAAAGTGTAAAAATCTATACAATAATAACGCTTAACCAAAATATATATCTTTAGTACTTTATTTTTTGTTCATGTTTGTGTCTAAGCATCTGTAATTTATTATTTAAAATTTTTTTTTTTTAACAACATAATAATATTTATTCACCAAATCTTGATTGTTACAAATCTCACCAAGAGTCCAAGCTTCTCTTGATTTACCCTGTTACACTCCACTGATTATCCAGGGAAATAAACAGCTGATTCAACTTATTAACAATTGTCCTATACAAAGACTAATTATTGCTGAAATTCATTTTAATTGACAATAACATTGGACATGTTGATTTATATCTATCTGTGTCTACTCTCTTATTAAATTCGTTTTCAAAAATACTATAGACATCAACAATTTTTGTTCTCTGCTCGGATACATAATATAACTTATAGATAGAAAAACTAAGTATCGTTATTAGATAATTCAAAAAGTAATATTTACTATCTGTGATTTTATATCCAAATATAAGATGTTGTAATTTAATAACAAAATCTATTTTATTTCTTTTAAAGAGGTCATAGATCTTTTGCCAAAATCTAGTCAAATATGAATAATATAGAAAATTGTGTGCATAATCTTCTTCTTGGTTACAAAAATTACACTTATCTGATAGTTATTTTCCACTGCAGTAAATTTTTTTTCGTTGGAACAATATATTGTAATAATTTCCATCTAAAATTTTTTAATTAATTTTCAGTCAGACATTAACAAATAATTTGGTACAATGAATTCATATTTAGAGTTTCTTGTATTTCTTAATTTATTATTTTTTTAATGCCCGTGTAGTATCTTTTATATATACTTTTCATCATACCATTCAATTTGAATAATCGAATCCAAATATCCTTAATCAATTTCAAATTGACCTTAAGGGGAACACATGTTACCGGAAATAGGCTGCACTTGAATGTCATCGGTTCGTTTATTTAACATTTATTTTGTCAATTTTTATGGACTTCCCCTTTTTGAAGTTACATTGGACTTCGGTATTTTTGTTATACTGTTTTAATTCTCAAACCGCGCTCTGATATACTTAAAAAAGCAACCATGACAGATCTTTGTAAGATCTTTCCTGAATCATTTCTCTTAATAGACCTCAGACAATTTAGACGTTAATACTTCATAGATATCAGTCTGTTGAAGACTGAATGTTGACCTCTAGAAATTGTATTGGATTTTAAATCGTATGTTGATTTCTCGTCAACGAATACCCCATCTCTCTTTTAACTAACATAACATACGTGTTTAATTTTTGGAATAACGTATATATATATTTACTTACGTTACTTACCTCCCGGCTTTTGTTTGGTAGAATCAACTGACACTGATACTGATGTTGTTGCATATTCGTTTGTGTTTTCTCCATGAGAACATTTCCACAGACCGTTTTCACAATCAACTCTATCAATAGTCAATACCGTAGTTTCGTTGTAAATATTTTGTTTCAAATGTGAATCACAGTGACCAGGTACTGTATGTGGTATTGGTGCAGTGCAATGCCCTCTGGTATTTCCATGAGGATCTTCAAACGACACTCCTAATGATAAGTTCTGAACATCACAAACAAAACACAGATGATTTCCATTTCTTCTCCAGGACAGAGAAACTTTGTCCGAAGTTTTACACCACAAAACTAAATAATAATAAAAAAAAATCTGTCATTACTAGTACATGCATAAAGAAAAAACTTTATTTATTTCAATGAAGATAGAAAATGTTTTGCCTCCACAGAGCTTAAACGTGTAGAGTTATACTAAACAATAAATAAAAACAAAAGAAAAAGAAGAGCCAGTAATCCCAACAAATGGCCCTGTAAAGGTGTATTTTTTAAATTTCATATGTTTGAGTTAATCTAATATGCATGCATTGATTGATTGTTGGTTGCTTAACGTATAGTGGCAAATATTTCCTGCATGTTCAGGACGAGAACAAATTAACAATAAATACAATAGGTAGGTCCTGTAATAAAGGCCATCAGGGATGAAGGTCGGGGAAATTTGGGGAAAATGAGGGTATATTGAATAGGGACAGAAATTTAGCCTTGAAATAGGCCACCTACGGATCCCTCAAAGAGTTGTTGCAAGGGTTCTTAACGTGCAAAGAGTCTCTCTTTACACGAGGCATCGGATTCAACGGTCCCATTCTGACCGGACGTGGCTGCGAACTTGTACATTCCGCACAGCCAAACGAACGCCCCACTTTGCGAGGGTTTTACTGCCCCTGTTATATAGCAATTTTTTTCCCATGCCAGTATTTCCCCCGGGGGAAAAACTGGCATGATCCAATTTTTCCCCCGGGGAAATTTTGGATCATTGCCATTCTTCCCCCGCGGAAAGTTGACAATACGTAAACATATAACCACTTTTCCCCCATGCCCATATTTCCCCCACAATATGGTTTTCACTTTATATATACATCAAAATTGCACGACCATTTATTGCATATATTTTCCGTATTTTCTTGGTCTCTTGAATGCTAAAATAATCTGTTTTTCGAGAAGAAATGTTTGATACAAATTTTGTTGGTTTTGTCGACACGCATCTCACTTAAACGGTATAGGGTCATGGAGTGGGGATTGGGCCCTATATTTTGTTACAGGGATGCTGTTTGCATTAAAAAACTCTGTCTTAAAATCCGACCTATTCGTATGGCTGACATGAAAATGTGTTCCTATTCATATTTACTGTGGTAGATAAAATGCTACTGTGAAAATTGGAGATTAACACTTTCACCGCAGGAATAAATTTATTTAATATTCATAAAGATATTTTGACCCATTAATATATGATTGTTTAATAAAATTGCCACCCATTGACATATGATAGGCTGAAATTGTATCCATTCATTTATTAAACATCCTGAAAAACGGACATCGGTATAAAACTTATTTATAGAAAGTGACCCCCGTTGTTGCAACAACACTCATTACGCGGGGCACACATTGTATTTGCTGAATATTTAGTTACACGTTTATATAGGGCATGCCAAAGAAAATCCTCATTGGTGAGATTTAATTCTTATTTGATTTTTCTCAACTTAGAAGTATTTTCACACTTTTATTTCGAATTTCTGCGGGTCAAATGTGAAATGGATGTATATGGGGCCATGATACGAAGACAGCACAAAATTACCCAATGCAACACGTAAACCGGCAAGACCTCAATTGATTTCATTATATCCATTGCGATGGGACCCTCCTATTATAAGCAGTCATCTCCAGGCGGTCCCAAACAATATATAAAGAAATCATATCGAAGGACTCATCATATATTTCAAACATTTCTACAACAACTGCTACCATCCGACCAAATTACCCCTTCATGTGGGTTTCAACAGAACATGGATTTGACCATTGGGACTTTCGACCTACTATAGAAAGTCACGTAACACATACCAAGGGTTCACAGAGGAGAATGGTTAATTGATAATTTAAAATTTCCAACTGACATCGCCGACGTTACTACAAGAGGGGAAAAATGAGCTTCTCGTTCTACAAGAGGGGAAATATAGGCCTGATCCCTGTTTTCCCTCTATCACAGTTAGGGGGAAAACTGGGATCATGCCAATTTTTCCGGGGGGAAATGTTTAAAAAAACTGCCATAAATTTTGCCAAAATATGCAAAAATCAGGTTTTAACGAAATTCACCTACATGTATGACGTCAAAAATACATCATTTAATATGACGAAATTGGTTAAAATATTCTTTAACTGAAACAATTGGACATTCTGATAAATGCCTTCATCAAATTTTCACAAAATTTTTGAAGTTAAAGAAAAATCAGATTTTTAGGGCCAAAATTATGAGTTAGTGAACCAATTCCTTTACAACAACTAAAAAAGTCAAGGATGTATTGATATTACGGAAAGTTTCAAGAACATTTTTTTCATGGAATAACGTTGTTACATGTAGCAGTTTTAGGAATAGCCGACATTACAATGTAAGATTTCATGATTTCTTGATCATCAGATTTAGTACTTTGATATGGAAAGTAGAACATGTGGTATAATTGCTAAAAGAGACAACTATCCACCAAAATCCAAAAGGACGAAGATGTAAGCAACTATATGACTTCATTTTAGATGTCTTTAGGGTTTTAGTGTTGTTGGGTTTCTATCTCATTGACTTTTATCCAACATCTCTTTTTATTTATATTCACTCAATTAAAGAATTGTATTCCACATCTCTTTTTATTCAAATTCACTCAATTGAAAGAATTGCACTTTATGCGGATTGACATACAGTGTAATAAAGTCTTGCCATCGTGTATTCAATGATACTTATATAGAATTGTTTCCATTTATGATTTTCATTTTATTGAAATCATTTTATACTAACAATCTAAGGTACAGGATATATTTAATTCACCTTGTCCGTCCATTTTTCCGTTCATCCGTCCAACACGTATTTTCTTACCATGTTAAAGCTAGCGAACAATAAGCCAGCGAACAATAAAACGATATATCTCAATCCGAAAAATTGCAACAGACGTTCGAATAAAAAAGCTAGCGAACAATATCTAGCGAAAAATAATGCAATATATCTATCAACCGAAAAATTGTAACAAACAGCAACGGTCGTTCGAAAAAAATATTTAAAATGGCAGAAGATTCCGTCCAGAAATTGCAAATTACAGCTCTGTCTTAAAATTTGATTTACCCAATCTATTTATAAAACAAGACCCATCCCTTTTCAGAGTAACAATCAATATCACGATAAATCAGCACCTGTCATCGGATTGTCTGTAGGTGGAAGACCACCAATTCACCCACTTCAATTGAGAACGTAAAAGTAGCCCTTCCCTGAGAAAAAATACTGCCTTTTATTTCATTGTTTAATTGAACTAAGAAACATATTTGCAAAAATGAAACTTTTGGTGAAGGATAAATGTTATGAAGACGATTTGGAGCCTAAATTTACTTGCCCTTGATTGGTCTATACCAGGGCCTCTAGATAAAAATAATGTGGGATGTCACGGGGTATTGCTATATAGGTCTTGTAGATGAGTTACAGGCGCATCGTTTGCGCAAGGTTTCGAGAGGCGCTATGTTCCAAAATCGGAAACTAAGGCGCGAAATTTGAAAAATTCAAACAAAACAGGGGGTTGGCCTATACCAGGGCTTCCTTAGAAAAATAATGGGGATGTCACGGTGTATGGCTATATAGGTCTTGTAAAGGAGATACAGGCGCATCATTTTCGCAATGCTTCGAGAGGTGCTATGTTCCGAAACTAGGGCTCGAAATTTGAAAAAAATTCAAACAAAAACAGGGGGTTGGCTTATACTAGGGCTTCTAGAGAAAAAAAAATGAGGGGTGTCATGGGGTATGGATATATATGTCTTGTAGAGGAGATACAGGCATATTATTTGCGCAAGGTATTGAGAGGCGCTATGTTCCAAAATCTGAAACTGGAGCTCGAAATTTGTAAAGTTCAAACCAAACAGGGGGGTCGGCCGTTACCTGGGCTTCTAGAGAAAAATAATGGTGGATTTCACGGGGTACGGCTTTATAGGTTTTGTAGAGGAGATACTGGTGCATCGTTTGCACAAGGTTTTGAGAGGCGCTATCTTTTTAAAATCTGAAACTAGGGCTCGAAATTTGTACAATTCAAACACAATACAGGGGGGTTGGACTTTACGGCCTTTACCAGGGCTTCTAGGAAAAAATAATGGGGGGAGGGAGTCACAAAGTATGGCTATATAGGTCTTGTAGAGGAGATACAAGCGCATCGTTTACGCAAGGTTTCGAGAGGCGCTATGTTCCAAAATCTGCAACTACGGCTCGAAATTTGAAAAATTCAAACAAAAACAGGGGGGTTGGCCTATACCAGTGCTTCTAGAGAAAAATAATGGGGGATTTCACGGAGTATGGCTATATAGGTTTTGTAGAGTAGATACAGGCACATCGTTTGCGCAAGGTTTCGAGAGGCGCTATGTTCCAAAATCTGAAACTGGTGCACGAAATTTGAAAAATTCAAACAAAACAGGGGGGTTGGCCTATACCTGGACTTCTAGAGAAAAATAATGGGGGGTGTCACGGAGTATGGCTTTATAGGTCTTGTAGAGGAGATACTGGTGCATCGTTTGCGCAAGGTTTTGAGAGGTGCTTTGTTGTTAAAGTCTGAAACTAGGGCTCGAAGTTTGTACAATTCAAACAGGTCTTGTAGAGTAGATACAGGCACATCGTTTGTGTAAGGTTTCGAGAGGCGCTATGTTCCAAAATCTGAAACTGGTGCACGAAATTTGAAAACTCAAACAAAACAGGGGGGTTGGCCTTTACCAGGGCTTCTAGAGAAAATAAATGGGGGGGAGGGGGTCACAGAGTACGGCTATATATGTCTTGTAGAAGAGATACAGGTGCATCGTTCGCGGAAGGTTTCGAAAGGCGCTATGTTCCAAAATCTGAAACTAGGGCTCGAAATTTGAAAAATTCAAACAAAAACAGGAGGAGTTGGATATACCAGGGCTTCTAGAGAAAAAAATGGGGTGGGATGCTATGGGATATGGCTATATGGTTATTAGTAGCCTTCACATTATCATAACCTTAAAAGTAATTTTTGGCAATTCGCTAAGACTATAAGGCTTCCTAATAGGCTGACTGTAAGTGTAACTCCATGTCTAATTGTTTGTTCCAA